ACTCGTCTCCTATTTAGAGTAGCGGTAAACTAGGGAGAACGGCTCCTATTTATATAAGTTATATAAAACCCTAGTTTTTTAGCCGATATAAAATAAACCATTTTTTTAGCAGAAAAAAACTCTAACTTTTAACGTATTCTAATATAGTAATATATATAATAGTTTTTTATTTTTATATGAAAAAATTGTGGATTACCTATGACCCTAATGGATTTACCCATTAAATCCGTAACTCTAATAGGGTAATCCACCAAAACTCATTTATTTATACGGATACAAAAACTCAATCCAAACCCATTAAAACTATGGACGGATTGGGGGTACCCCATATGTATACTTTTTGACACCCCTAGTTTCTAGAACAAAAAAAAGATCATAATTATAATCGTAGTTAGGAGCACCTAAAAATCCATACTAAAAAAGGAAAATGCTTATAAACAAAGAATAGAGTCAAAATCTACAGAGCATAGGTCAAGAGATTAGGTGTTGAAATCACAATTACACTTCACTTTTCCTACAATAATTCGAATCACCCTCACGTCAAATCCACTAATTATTTACAGAAGAATATATAAAGTAAACACGTCACACGTTGCAGTTGCACATGGAGTTGTAATAGTAAATTTGTAGTAAAAGATGAGATTTTGACCGGTCGAAGAAACTGAATAGTTGGGTGTATCATAACTGCTAACTGTAAACAACTCTATATGTGTTAATAAGAGGTTGCATAGAATATAGTTTAAAATAAGCAGTTATTACCTTATAAACATAGGGGTCTTAATTAGGTTGAATAAAATTAAGAAGGCGGTTGAAACAGTATTTTACTTTAGCCACACTATACAATTATGTAGCCATAAGTTACAATAATCAAAACAACTAACAACTAAATGAAATGGTGATGGAACTTTATGAAATATATACAAACATGCCCCACCTACCTATACCATATTCACGATAAACAACTTTATGCGAACGTCTTTAATTACACAATGTTAAAGATGTTAGGTAAATTTGTCTATTAAATTTGCATAGTTAAAGTTTTTTTTGGAAATCGAACCCTAAATTTGGTGTAGAAAACATACAATAGCATGATGCATGGCATTGGCATAGGAAATCACATCAGAATTTGGAAATGGAATAAAGGGTTGTCACAAATCACATTCGAGCGCATGAGTTTGTTTATTTAACATCTAGGCTTTTACGATTTGGGCTATATGAATATATCTAACTAACTAAGTGTTAAGAAGGCCCAAAATAAGCCTATTTCATAGAATTCCGACACCACTCGACCCAGCCCAAGTCCCATGTGGAATCCAAAAAAAAAAAGGTCACGTAGAGAACAAAAACAAAGAGAGAGGACGAATTGCATGTAAACAGATACTTAAGGCCAATGCAATTATAATGAAGCACACACAAAGAAACCCGAATTTGTTTTACGATAAATCCTAAGCATCAGATAAAGATTGCTTCATTGTTCGAAAAACATGGAAAATAATCTAAATCGATATGAATTCTAAGTTTTTTTTTTTTAATTAGAATGGTTTATTCATATCTATTACGTGATTTTAACAATATTTTAATATTACGAGTTAATGCTTACGTATTTCTTTAACATGCGACAAAAATATTAAACCTAACCCTTATCGAATAAACTCAAAAAGACAAGAAGACATTTCCATTTATTTCTCAAATCCGAAGATGTGTCCTAAAAATAGTAACTGAAACCGTCAAAATATCCACGTGGAACTCTTCTGACAGTCAAAAAGCCACGTGGCAGTATCCACGAAAAATCTGGTCGGTAGTAAATAAACCCGGCCAAACCGGAGACTTTTTTGTTCTTCACTCAAGTCCTAAAACCCTATAAATAAGTC